GACGGCCTCGAGTCGATCGATTCCGATCGACTGTTTCATCCAATTTGCGTCTTCGTATTTCCGCTGTACGATTGACCGACGGCGGTCGAAGAAACATCGAAACGTTTGTGAAGCAAGGGAGAATAGAAAAGTTAGGGAGATAGGCAAGATGCGGAGGAGTAGGTTGAGCAGGAGCGATATCGTAACGGAGCCTGCACAAAGGTTGCCGTCGACGCCCTGCCGCTGCTTCCTGGTTTCCCTATATTGATTTTCTAGCGTGGCCGTAGCTAGACGGAAACGGAGCGACGCGCGACGCGGCGCGAGGGAGAGAAACACGCTGCGCCGCACAGCGCCGTGCTCGTGCTCGCGTTTCGTGCTCGTGCTTCGTACACGGATACTCTAACGAACGCGAACATTGGCTGCTAGAGCGTTTATACGTCGGTTTGCGACGCGTGAGCCACGTTTGCGCGTGCACGGTGCACCCGTAAAAGCCGGAAAAGGGGAAGCGGATAGTGGGGGTTCCATGCAAGAGGGTGGAAAGAGTACGCCTCGGGGTTGCGGCTAGCACGAAGGAGACGCGAAGGTGGAGCTACCTTTTGCACCTCCGAAAGATGGAGAGGAGATTATCCGTCACGCGCGCTTTCCCGCTCTTGGTTTTTCGGCTCTCTGTTTTTCCACCCCTCCTTCTATTTACCTCCCTTCGATTCTTGCGGAATTAAATCGATGGATTCGTCGATAAGTTATGCGATTTAACGTTTGGAAGTTTAACGAAGAGTTTACGAGTACCTTCGAGGCGACGAAGCGTCGCGTCGCTTTCTCGTGGAACGCGTCAAGTAGTAAAGGACGACGCGTGGTCGGACGATCGATCACCCGACTATGCACGGACTACGGGGGCCCAACGTTTGTAGCGCGTGTTTTCGAATTCCTCTTATTTCTCCCTCTCTTCGAGAAATTACATAGAAAACATTAGTCCATAGGGAAAGATAGATTATTTAACGAAGAGGAATTAAATCTAAATTGTTTGGATGTTACAGGATCGTATGACGGCTAATGGAAATTCGCCGTTGGACAGCATGAGGACGTTGGAGCATTACTTGAGCGACATCATGCGAGCCGGTGCGGCCGACACACCGGAGCACGTAAAAGGTAAGCCGATTTTGGAGCGTGTCAATTAAGCGTAAGCATCGTTCGAACGGAAAATGCAAGGAATCCTTTCGATTTATCGTCCGAGCGAACTTCCGTTTTTTCGCTGGAAATAATCGTGATCGACGGATACGTGGTCGGTTAAGCGGAAGCAGTCTTGTTCGTCCAACAAGATCAACGAAATTGCCAAGCAGCCGAGCACTCGACGCACGGCGGCTCTGCCACCCTCCACTCGACGCTGTTCGCTCCGCTCGTTCTATCCGACAGCGCGTGAATTTGACGCGACCGCGAGCCAACGCGGAGACAAAAGTGGACGAAGAAGGAGCAGACTTCTACACTCTCTTTTTTCCCGGTTTTCCCTTGGTCCGTCGCTTTCTTTTTCGCCAGTCTAGCCACCCTGTCTGCGAGCTCTCGCAACCCTCGGACAAGCGTTCTCGCGCCTGCAGTCAAGGGCAAGGGTGGTGCCTCTCGTCTTCCTCGAAACCGTACGACGCGGTAAAGCGAACCAGATTTTGCTGGAATATAAACACAAACGTTAAAAACGTATCGGCCAAGTTTTCGTCGAAGGTTTCGTTATGCAACTTGCTCGTTATTCGTTCGTAATGGCTCCTCGGGAGGCAGAAAGCGGACGGAGGGAGAGGCGATCGAGAAGAATGCAAAAGAGGCGCCGGGAGCAGGTGACATCTCCGCAAACCGGCGACTTCATTGTATCGCGTAATTATCGTTTCCCTTAAAGACCAAAGACCGTCGGGGGATGTCCGCCGAGGTTGTTTCTTTTTTCGCAGACCCTTATCCTTGCAATTAAAATCCAGCCGCGATCGAATCGCAGTTAACGATGGCCGAGAATTCGTTACGACGGTTCTCGTAGAAGATCTCGGATCGGTTCGATCGAAAGAGTTCTTCGGCTGGAAAAGGAGAAACGAGGGTAGGATGGGAGCGTGCGAGTCTTTATTCTAGAACAAAAACTTCTCTCTCGAGGCATTGTAAGGTTCCGTTGAGTGGGCGTGCTCCTTCACGACGCCATCTTTGAAAGTGTCAGCACGGCACTTTAAACTGCACTAGTAGGTCAACCCTTGGAAAATCCGAGTGTACTCGAGCTCGTAAAAAACCGGGAGAATCGAATATTTTCGGGGGGGCGAACGAGCCCGGTGCGCATTGTCGTGTAACGCGTTTTCAACCGATCGATATCGCGGCCACGCTATAGCTCGTAACGATCGCGTGTTTCGCATCGATAAGATCCTTTGAAAAATAAGCGAATCGATTTCGCGTTCGCGTGTCGCGTTTTCGCGATATCGCCGGTATAAACGACGCGAACAGCGGCTGTCGTTTGTCGTTCGCTCGCCACCGTTGGAACTCGCGGGCGTTGTTGCCTTTCGCTCGATTGGCACGAGGTCGTGCAACGAAAACTTCAGCGAAGCTGTCCAACGATCGATCTAACCGCGGTGCAGCGACGTTTTCTAGCAACGGTCAGCCAGCCAACTCCGCGTCCTTCGACGACGGATTCGAGGCAATTTTACAGTCGCATTTTCTGACCTATATACGCTGGCTAATCCGACCAAAGGATAGAAGGGGTGGTTTTAACTCGCCGTTCTATCTAGGGTTTCATTGCTTCTCTTCGTTCCTCCCTCCCCATGCTTTAGCCGGTAATACGTGTCATTGAAAAGGTGAACCTCCTGCGGAAACGCATCGAAACGATTAACGCTATGACTTATTTGTCGGGTGCGTCAGACAGAACTGCGTAATTAAGCTATAATATTAACCCCTTCCCGTGCCATTTATTTAACAGATGCGTCAGTCAAGACTAACTGTGCAGGGCTGTAATATTAAAACGAACAAAGAAAATTAAAATGTAACTATTTTATATTCAGATCCTTGATAATGTAACTTATAGCTGGACTTAAATTTCAAGTTGAAGAGTATTCAAAATTTGAGTAAGGTTTGTCACATTTGAACTGTATGTGCGTCACGAGTGAGACTCGTCAAAGCACGAGAAGGGGTTAAGATAGACAAAAAAATTGAAATGTTATTTCAATATGTTATTCAATTGTTGACTATGCAAATTATTGGACTTGAACTCCAAATTGAGCGTATTAAAAATTTGAGTAAAATCACGGCCGAGGTACGAGTCACGAGTCAGTCTCGTCAAAATGGTGCTAGGGGTTAATTCAAACACGCTGTCTTCCTGTCAAGTGCATTGGAAAACAAGAATAAGTCTGACAATTCCTGAGAAGTTTGTTCAGAACATCAATTTGCGAAACGTCTTCCGAAATTCGTTGTAACTACAGTTGATCTCCCTTGCGTTGATCGAAAAATTGACTGATTCGACGTTCTTTCTGAACCTCGAAGTGCCTTGTTCTCCACACGTGTCGTTCGGTAATTTTTCGTTATCGAATTTTCGACGCACCGTACAAATAAAGCGGCGACGAGTTAAAAACAGTTAAAGACATAGAAGGAAACAGCGATAACGGTGAATTACAGATAATAATCCGAAAAATGAAGGTAACGTCCGATAACGAGGTAACGGTGCAAATGATAAAAGCAGTAAAGCGATAAGGTACGATCGGAATAAAAATAGATTTCCAGCCAAGAAGCGGCCGAGGAAATAATCCTCTTACGTCGCAGAAGCAATTGCTGGTGAAAACGTACGGTTCTGCGATCAAAGGATATTCGTAACACGCAGAAACGGATGCTCATAAAACGGTGGCGCGTTTTATAATGCGAAAAGGGAAGAGGCGGTCGAACGTCGAAAAGCTGTACCGACCGAGTATCCTCCGAATGGCTAGGAAAGATACGCGTCGCCATCTCTAGGTCGTCCCTAGAAGGAACCGCGATATGGCGCTGCCGCCCGCTTTCGAATTTCCCGCCGCCTCGTCGATTCGGCGGGAAATCTGTGACCGTGCAAAATGGTACAAGGGCTTATTTAAATTCGATCGGAATTGGCCGCTTGCCTATTGACCAACTGCCACGGTCAGACGCATTGCAGTGACCCGCAATGTTCGAACGATCGAAAAGATTCGAGACTTTGCGATTCGATCGTTTCCTTGACCACGGTCAAATTATAAATAAACGTTCGTCGGCATCCAGCGGGCAGGCAACCCTTTGTATCCTCGGTCCCGTGCCATTAGCGACGTATATTTAAGCCGCTATACAGCCCGTCGACGAAACAAAGCTCCGCAAATATCCTAGGGGGACAAAAGGCTTGCGTCAAAGAATGAAAAGGGTAGAAAAAAAAGAGAGAAAGGGTGAAAGAGCGAGAGTGGATGAAAGCGTTAGGCGGACGAACGACGCGACGCGCTCGACGACGCGACTAACGCCTGGACATCGCGGAACCCCTTTTCTTGCCCTTGCACCTGAAACCTATCAAGGTCGTCGTTTTCGATCTTACGTCTCGTTTCATTTTCACGCACCTAAATATTTTATGTTCCACGGAATCTATTCGCTGGAACCACGGTTTCAGTTTTTCCATTTCTTCTCGACCCGTTGAGAGCGCAAGAAGGAGCCTGCAGAATTCTCGCCGACACGATGCGTTTTATATCTGCAAACGTTTCTTGTGCAGATAGAAAAATCCTCCGCTATTTCTGTCTCGATTGTAAGGCCGAACGATCCCGTTTCCTCTCCTCTTTTTTCGTTTCTGTCCGCTCGTCTGGAACGCGAGGCTCCACTTTTTCCGCCCCCTTTTTCACCGTTTCCACCTGGAATCGTTTTTCAGGCTTTTAATTATGTTTCCATTCGTTTCTCCGATCTTTGCGAGGTCGAAAAATGTCCAAGGAGAAAGTTCACGGTTTCGCAACGCACACGCGTCGTGCACCGATAGCAGAAAGAAGAGAAATTCGGATAGAGGAGGAAACGATTTGGTGGGCCGATTTCATCGATCAACCTCTTCCAGCTCGCTAGCTATCCATCGACGTCATTTGCGCGTGTCTAGGGGGTGGGTCCTGGCCGAGTGCAACGACCCCCTTCTGCCGTTACTTTCCCCGTTGTTACTTTGAGCCAGCGTCTCTCAAACCGTCGCGTCTATTTGACCACGCTTTTAACATCGTTCCTTTTTGTCTCCGCTTTCCGAAACCTTCCGGGTTCGAATTCTATTCTCCTGTGAAGAGTTTGAGAAACACTGGCGTGGGGACCCGTGTCTAAAAGGGATAACGCTCGTAAAAATTGCTACCCTCCGATTGCTAGGGCAGTTCGTGCGTCTCCACAGAAATTAGGGACTACGCTTCGATTTTTTCTTGGCTTCTGACCAAAATTAAAACGCGATGCGTTCTGAAAGGTTTTACGCTTGATTAATCGGTCGAGGAAGGAAAATAGGATTCGGGAAAAGGGCTGAGAATTTGAGGAAACCTCGGATCGAAGGTTCTATCGCTCAGCTTATAGTTTTATTCAGGAGGAATCTTAAGGAAAAGGTCTGATTCAGAAAAGAAACAAACTTTGTAAAATTATCTTCTTTTTTATTTATTCTTCGTCATTTTACAATTGGGTCGGTGATCATAGCAGTCGAGGTCCTTATACAATCAATCGATCAATCTTATGTACGCATTTATTAATTGTATGACCCGTTAATGTTTATAATTATCCCTTGAAGTGTGAATGGAGTGAATGAGGGTTGCAAGTGGCGACGCGTGTTCGTCAAAAAACGCATGAATGCCGTGAATGTTCACTTCATTTATAACCAGCCTTATGTTATCCTCGAACTGTAAACGTATGTGTAATTACTTGAAAGATTAATTAAATATTTAAATGTTTTAATTAATTAAAAGAAGTGCTACACTTACATTTATCTTCTCTCGTTTTCTTTCGTTCCGATCGAAATTTGACCGCAAAAGGATGAAAAATTCCTAGTCATTTGGAATAAACACGCCCGTAGGAGATCGCGTTCGTCGGAGCACGATCGATGCGCCTAACTCGGCGTAAAATTGCGCTTCGAAGCGACGCTTACCGTGAACGAACCTACGACGCTATTTTCCCCCGTGTCCTCGAACGCCCGCAATTTTCCTCGACTTTTCCCGATTACGCTCCGCGCGAAAACGTTCAACGAACGTTGTTTGCAAGAGCGAAAACGCAAACGACAAAAATTCTTACGCAATCGTTCTATCGCGCAGCCTTCGGAGAGAAAGAGCGAGCGAGAGAGAGAGAGCGTATAACTAAAGAAGCCCGACGAATAATGGAAGAACGAGCGTTACATAAATTCAAGGATACCATGCGCAGCATTGGCTATCCTATTCGTTACGATACGGTATTTCATTGAAATCGTTACGTACGTGGCGTAATCGCCTGTCGTTCGTAACACGGCAGACGGCGTTGCGTCGACTTATATTATTAGAGATTCGTTAGGACATTTCCGAGGGAGTTCGAAGGGAAAAAGGATTAGGTAACGGAACTTTCGCTTCGGAAAATGAAACTCGAGCCAAAATCGAGTCGTATTTTTGTCGAGAGGCGAAAATCGAAGCGATCGATTCGAAACGAACGATTAACGCGTTGGTCGTTTCGGTCGTCGACCGACGCGACGCATCCGTTACGTAACAGGGCCAAAAATAAGTTCGTTCCCGAGATAGAATACTCGAATACTTTTCCAAAGACCTCTTTTAAAAGTCGTTATCGAAGTTGCATATCGTGGCAGACCGCGATAAAGTAAAACGTGACATAGCGGTTTCGTCAGCAGTTATGTGATTCGGGTAAAGAATCGGTAGGAAAAGTCGATTAGACAACGCCTACTTGAAATGCAAAGCGTAAGGACCATTTAAATAGGAACGAATGAAATTCTAGACCCAACCGGGCTTAACCTGATAGTTGAATAGCTACCGCGACCTAAACCTGCTCGCTGTGTTTTTACCCTAAGGCTTACGGTTATCGCCGTACCGGTTTCTTCACCGACGATAACAGACGTTGCGATACCCGTACGCTGCCCCCTTTTCGTTACTTCTTTCGCTGCACGGAAAATTTTACCGCTTTTCAGCTCGCAATCTCGCGATCGGAGTCATCTACAGCTGTTTTGGCAGTCAGCTGGCTTACGAATACTCGCGTGATTTCTTCGTCGAAGAAAAAGAACGATTATTCGTTCGTCGAAAAGTCGAGACGGAAGGAACGAGACATCGAAATGCAAATAGGACCAGTTTTCCGCGATGCGGGATCTCCGATATCCATTATGCATGGCGCTTAAGATGCGGGGTTGAAATCAAAGTCGGAGCGGGCAAAGAACGGGGCGAACCGTGAGACGGATACGCAACGACGAAGCTGCTGGCCGTAACGGCTGAGAAGCCGAAGGATGAGCACACGCCGACGTCTAAATTTAGAAACGCTCGCTCGCGTTGCTTACTTCCGCTTATTTTAGCTAAGGGGGCAATCGTTTCGGCCGAGAAACGCGCGACTCCCTCTTTCCTCTCCCTTTCCGGTTCTCGATGTCTCCGACTCGCGGAAATGCTCCACGATTTCCGCCATCGCTCCAAAGCGTTTCGAAACCGCTTTCGGGAATCCGATTTCGTTCACCGTCGCGAATTCCAACCTAATGTTTCGACGTTTAAACTTTTCATTAACGAATCGATCGACCGAGTTAGTAGGTCGACGCTGACTACGAACCTTGTCGGAGAAAAATCACTATATAGCTTTTTAACCTCTTGTTCAATTTATTTGCCAGGCAAAACTGTTCATAGTTTTACTGTTAAAAAAAGGGAATTAAAATGTGAGCATTTTATGTTCATCATTGTATGGATTTTTAACCTCTTGTACAATTTATTAGCCAGTCAAAACTATTCATAGTTTTACTGTTAAAAAAAAAATTAAAATGTGAGTATTTTATGTTCATCATTGTATGGATTTTTAACCTCTTGTACAATTTATTTGCCAGTCAAAACTATTCATAGTTTTACTGTTAAAAAAAAAGGGAATTGAAATGTGAGCATTTTATGTTCATCATCGTATGGATTTTTAACCTCCTGTACAATTTATTTGCCAGTCAAAACTATTCATAGTTATACTACTAAAAAAGAGGGGATTAAAATGTGAGCATTTTATGTTCATCATCGTATGGCTTTTTAACCTCTTGTACAATTTATTTGCCAGTCAAAACTATTCTGCTAATAAAAAATTCATCATATAGCTTTTTAACCTTTTGTACAATTTATTTGTCAGTCAAAACTATTCATAGTTATACTATTAAAAAATGTGAGCATTTTATATTATTGCATCTAATGATGAGCATCCTTGACTGTAAAAATTATGGACCTAAACTTGAGTAACCCTTTGGGCTCAAGAGGTGCCTCTCAGTCGCCATTTTGTTTAATACAATAATTTGAAATGAGCATTTTTTAACTGATTCTATAATATGACACGTGTGACGTATAAACATAGTGAAACAAACAACAGTAGAAATAATGAAACCTCAAAAGAATTCATTTAACTTTTTAACTAAGTTTTAAAGTTGCTGTTTGCAAACAGTCAAATTACCTTCGAGTACAAAGGATTAATTTGAGCAGGTTTTGTCACATTTAAACTATGAATGTGTGACGAGTGAGACTCGTCAAAGCAAGATTAAGTTTTAGTGTTTAGCAGCCGAAGGTAGAACCGTGTACAGTTTTTTGAAGAAGGAACGTTGACTCACTTTCGTTCGGTTTTATCGATTACGCTGTCGCATAGGATTTCAGGAAATCCACGTCAGTTTTGTATGGAATTAAAAAGTATAACAGAAGAAAATAATTCATTTACATAAGACTAACTATGCAAGACTACTTATGCAATAAAACCTATGCAGTTTAAAAGTTCCACCAAAGGTGGTCATTCCGCCATGTCTCAAAAAATCATTTCGGTAGAAGTCATTTCGAAATTTAAGTTCGAAGTATACTTAAATTTCCGAGCCTATTTCGTTAGCCGGAAGGAGTGGAGGGATCATAGGTAGCCAGCAGGACATGTAAGTCGGTGCACGGTTCGACACTCGATGGTTATGTAACGGGTGTCATAAAACGCACGAGCATCGATACGTTTCCAACGCACTAATAATTGTGTCTCGTAACCTTGAGCGTCGATCAAACGATCCTTCGTATCGGTACACCTCGTAGCGGCGCGTAACGCGGCGTACGATAAGCACCGTATATCTTAACCGCGTGGATAACGCGCAGAAGCGTTTACTGTTTACGCGAAAGACTACGTCGATCAGTAATCGTGGAGGCAGCGAAATTGGATCCGACGGAAGTCGCCAAAATTCTTGCACCGACAGCTTCTGCGATGTTTCGTTGTCATGGATAATGTAGCTTCTTTTCCTCGTAGCTTCGGAACGCGTGCAACGTTACGTAATTACTCGTAACGTTATCTTTACGGCCCTGCTAGCTTATTGCACGGAATAATTTTCTTTCGTATCTGTGCATCAAGTTAGGTTAGGTATGAATTCTTCTGATGGTTTAAACATAAGAAATGATCGGCTTCCGAATTTTTGCGCGATTCGAGTTTGACCGAAGCGATCGAGCGAACCGGAATGGCGTTCGTATTGCGCGATGTCACGTGTACGTAGAAACGCGCGCATAAGCGGCACGCTCGCGAGCAGACAACCTTGAGTGTATTATCGAGTTCCTGCGCGTCGGTGTCGTTACACGGATTCGAACGTTAGAATATTTTTATTCCTGAATTTTCCCGCAACGCGGGTTCGTGCGAAAAGTAATTTTCGTCAGCATGCACGAATGCACGCGTTTTTATGCTGAACCGAAGGAGGTAACGCGAGTCCACGCGCGTGCACAGCATGCGTTCACACACTGACTTCGTACATGTACTGGATTCCCATTTTTAGTTGTATCTCGTACGGCTTCGCACGCACGTGCCGAGTTCTTTTCTTCAAGTTTCGACTACCTTCGCGCTCCACTTAACCCTTACTTGTATTGTGACGCACAGTCAGGTACAATAAGTGTACTTAACATTTCAACTATTTGCTTTAACCCCTGACGCATTTAGAAATCAAATGCTTCCTCAAATTTTTAATACTCAACTTGAAATTTAGGTCCGACAATAATTTGCATAATTAATCGCTGAATATAAAATACATTTTAATTTTCTTTATTTGTTTTAACATTATAGATAAAATAGTTTTGACTGACGCATCTGGCAAATAAATTGTACGAGAGGTTAATAGTGTATCAACAATCGGCTCTGACTTGAGAAACTCATAAGTCAAGATTCGTAGTACCCGAACCACCGGTACCATTTCGTTTTTCGCGCGCTTTTTCATTGGTTAGTCGATAAAGTCGACTTCGCATCGAAAATGTTAGACGAAAGGTTATTTAATTAATTCTTAAAGCAAGAATCGATGGACTATCCAGAAATTAGTAACAATTAACTAGTCAGGAAAGTAGTCAAAGTTGCACAGAATGCTTGAGTTAAGATACACTGATCACAATTACTGCAACTCTTCTATCATAATCACTTCACCGTTGTACAAGAAAATTCCCTCTCGACGTAGATTTGGTTATCGATGACAGTTACCATTCTGGTGAATGATCACGAGTGTAAGCGCGGGAAGAATAAAATTTGAAGGAGGCGTGGGGCGCAGTATATGTTCGTGACGTCCCTGTTCGCGTTCCTCGCCCCTGCGACTCGTCTTGGCTCCGTCTCTCTCTCTCTCATCCTTCTGTTTCGTTCCCGCGCGCATACGTAACTACGGGTGGGTAGTACTTACGTACGTGTGTCGCTTGTTCGCGCGTGGATAGGTATCGCGTCTTCGTCGTACTCTCGCGCTTGTTCCCGTTCTCGATCCGGCCGACGAGCGATTTCGAGCGGCTTCGTCGGCGCCATCGATCCCTCTCGCGCGCGTGCTTTCCTACTTTGTCGCGTCCGTTGGCGGAGCGCTTACGCACACGCGTGACGCTCGGTCGGTGTGCAGGCCGCGTCATGCATGTTCCGCGATGGACTTCGCCTCGCTTCGCCTCTCTTCGCCGCTCTCCGCCGCGTCTCGCTTCGTTTCGCCCCACCACGCTCGTTTCCCCTCGTCTCGTCCCGTTCCGTCCCGTACCGTCTCGGTTCGCTTCGTCGCAGCACG